TTCATAATTAGTTCTGTGTTTAATTATGTGTGAACATACATGGTTTGACATGAATTAGTTACTTATTGGTAAGATAGAACTAAATTACTAATATAACTAAAAACCAACTTAATAACCCATGATCATTAGCTAGCCATAAGGGAGAAGTGGAGTCAACTAAGCAAGAGTGTGTTTTTATTGAATTTGATTTAAGTTCATCTGATCTTGCAAAATCAGATAAAACCCCTTATTAAATTTGTTAATAAATTAGGTTAATTTAATAGTAAGTAGATTAATTAGTAACACCGTTCCCTGTGATCGACACCCGACTTACCTAAGCTATATTGTAATCTGACTAGGTACACTGCCTATAAGTGCATAGATAGTCTAAGTTTGTTAGGTTATAAATATTAAAATTAGTGGGTACTTTTGTGCACATCAAGTTTTTGGCGCCGTTGCCGGGGAACGACGCAGATTATTAGTTTATTTAGTTGCATTAGATTAATCGTTTTTTTATGGAATAAAATCTGCAGAAAGTTTAATTGGTTATTTATTTTGCTAGCTTATCTTAGTTTAATTTTTTTTGTTTGTCACAGCGTTCACGACGTGAGATTTAGTACACTCACGACGTGAAATTTGAGAGTTCATTTTTAGTTTTTCTTATTTTAGTCCAGCTTTACGTTTAGTTTAGCAAGTTGCAGAAGTTAATGACCAGAAGCTCAAACACACACTTGGTGCCACCACTTGAAGATCCCGAGTCTGCACTTCGCAAGAAGAAGACGCCCTTACAAGAACTGAAGTCAGCCTTTTTAGGAACGCGGGAAAGAAGACAGGAGAGTCAAGTTCATCCGCGAGGCACAAGAGCAATCTTGAGCATTTCGATCATACGCCCATCCAAACCGAGTCCGAAAGCGATACCAAGACGGAATTTGAAGAACATACGAGCGAGCCCGAGAACGAGCCAAGGAACGAGATGGAAGCAATCGAAGAGATGTCCATGGGAGCTTACAAGAAGCGGATTCGAGAAGATGTGGGTCCCGGTTTAGTCCAACCCGCAATACCTGCCACTGCTACATTCGAGTTGAAGGGACACATATTGACTGCACTGAAGGATATCCCATTTTTTGGGAAAGATCATGAGGATGCTTTTAAGCATCTAGATGAAGTCAACGACATTGAGGATTACTTCAACGTCCCAAATGTCAACAGAAACATAGTTTTGCTTAGGATGCTTCCCATCACTTTCAAAGGAGCTGCTAAGGAGTGGTTAAAATCACTTCCACCGGGTACAATCACCACTTGGGCTCAAATGCGTGAGCAATTCCTGGACCAGTTTTGCCCGCCATCCAAGATATCTAAACTCAAGAAGGCAATAGCCAACTTTGAGCAACAGACAGGGGAGTCATTATACGAAGCATGGGAGCGGTACAAGGGCTTACTTAGAAATTGCCCACAACATGACCTAAATGTGCAGTAGGAGATGTCAATCTTTTATGATGGGGTCAACGTGATGACGAGACAACTCCTTGATTCTCAAGGACCTTTGACAAAGAAAAATACAAGGGAGGTCAAGGAGCTAATTGAAGAATTCGCGAAACACTCCCGCGAATACTACAACCCGAGGCAAGAAGGAATCAAAGGTGGATGAGGGTCCCAAACTGAAGAAATGGAAGCGGTCATGGCCATGTTAAATAATATGGACCGCAGGATAACACAAATGGACCAATCGATACATGCCATAAGAGTGGGTTGCGAGAGATGCAGTGGTCCACACTTGACAAGGGACTGCAATGTAGATGATTATGGGAACAGAAAGGCTCAAGTATGCTACTCTAGTGGGGATAAATTTGATGAGGACTGGAGGAACCCGAAGAAGGAGTGGATGCCATATGAGGAGTATAAGAATCAAAAAGAAGAGAAGTATAGGCAGACAGGTCGAGGCCTCTATAAAAAGGAGCAGCCGCCAGCCGAGAAGAAACCCGACCTAGAGACCATTTTAATGAAGTTTATGGAAGCATCGGAAAAGCGACATGATGCCACTGATTCTGCTATTCTGGAACAACAAACTTTGATAAAGAATCAGCAAGCCTCCATCCATAACCTTGAAGTACAATTTGGTCAACTAGCAACTCTAGTTCATGAAAAATTGTCCCCGAAGAATCCCGAAGTACATAACCAATCTCATGTAATGGCCATAGACACCGAAGAAGAAGCCATCTCGGAGTTCCTGGAAGCATTGGACGAAGAACCACGGAAGCCCGATCAAAAGATGAAGAAGATCAAGCTCGAAAATCATGAAGCTGCTAAGTTCCAGAATTCACGACGTGAACCTTATATGTTCACGACGTGGGCCCGTCATGAACAAAAAAATTCTGCAGTCAGTTCGGTTTATGAGCCGAATTTGCCTTTGTCAAGTCCTTATCTAAAGCTCCTGAGAACCAGAAATTACTGCAAGACTTGATAGACACTCGAAGGCAATTAAAGAAGCAGTCTACAGTGATTCTAAGTGAACAAACTTCAAAAGTTGTGTTGGGAGAAACACCAGAAAAGATGGGGGATCCTGGACGCCTCACTCTTCCATGCGAGTTTGGGAATAAAATAAAGGTTAATGCTTTAGCCGATTCTGGGGCTAGCATTAATCTGATGCCTTTTTCATTTTATCAAAAATTGGAGATTCAGAAAATGAAGACTACAAAAATGAAGATTCACATGGCGAATCGTTCGGTGACACAACCCCGAGGCATAGTGGAGGATATTTTGGTAAAAATTGGAAAATTTATTTTTCCGATAGACTTTGTAGTCTTGGACATGAAAGAAGATCCAAATGTTCCGATAATCCTTGGTCGGCCATTGCTCAACACTGTTGGTGCCCTTGTTGATATCCGCGAGTCTAAGCTAACTTTGAGGGTTGGAGATGAACAAGAAGTCTTTGGGATAAAGGATGACTTTCAAGGAAATAAAGAAAAGGTGTTCACAATTAATGAAGAGAATGAACTAGAAGAACTGGAAAAGCTTATGGAAGAAGAGATAAAGGTAGTTCATCAAGTCAAGAGGACAAAACCAAAGGCATCTGTTCTATATTTGATTGAAGTCATAGCTTACAAGAGCCCGCCTTCTTGGGTAAGCAAAGAGGATGAGGAAATAACAAGTGATGAAGAGGAGGTCACTTCAAGAGTAACAAAGCCGGTTGTGAAAGAAGAAGAGAATGACATAAAATACAAGGAGGAAACCAAGGGCACAAAACGCAAGCTTGAAGAAAAGGGAAAAGCTAAAACGGAGAATTCAAAGAAGGCATATAAAAGGCGAGTTCAAGCTTACAAAAGGCGGTTCAAGGAACAAAAGATCTTGGTGGAGGACTCTTCCGAAGACTCAACGTAGGAGGCACGGAGTCCAGCTCAAGACTCCAAGAAAAAGAAGCGCTTCTCGGGAGGCAACCCGAGTTTGGTTTGAAATTTTTTTCTCTCTTTCTTTTTGCATTTTAGTTTTGAAAACTTAGATCGAGTCATCCAACTCTATTAGAACAAAATGTGGGGACCTTAAAACGGAAGTAGTAGTAATTAAGAACTTAGTTCAAACTCAAAAATTGATTATCCAGACTTTATTCACGACGTGAATAGTTAGCCGTTCACGACGTGAATTGTGAATGAACCGGACACATAATCCATGATATGGCTTAACCCATTAGACTAGCAAGCCCAAGATCAGTCTGTGAGTACATGGCCCAAACTTAAGCCCAGGCACTATTCACGACGTGAATTGTATATAATTCACGACATGAATGTTTAAAAGTACAGGACCACATGTTAAGTCCCTGGAAACCAGTAAACCCTTTCATTTGTTTATTGTTCACGAAGTGGAAACAGAAATTGGTCCCCCTTGGTCCCCATTGCTGCGAATTTAGCCGACAATTCTACTAATTACCATTGTGCTTACGTAATACTTCCAACAAAGGTACCAATTATTGATTATTAAGTTTAATTTTTGGTTCTAGTAGTGGAACTTAGGGTTAGGGTTTGTTAAATGACGAAATTAATTCTTTACAGTTCGTAAATAACCTTGGAATGTTCATGCTAAGTGTTTGGAAGTGGTATAGGAGTAAAACCCAAGGATATTTTGACTGGATTTTCCCCGATTGTGAAGATTCTGCCTTCTGCGGTTGCGAACTCACGACGTGAATCATAAATGATTCACGACGTGAATTCTGGGGCTAATCAGAATTCATTTTTCTTCTACGTTTGATTTGTGGATATTTGTTTTGGCTGTTTCTTTTTTGTGTTTTTGCAGGAATGGCTCCAAGAAGAGAGGTTCCAGCTGGGGTTGCGGGTTTACACCCGTTTTACAATTTTCCCGCGACGACGACCCGTGATGTTTTGACCCGTTGGAACAACAGATTGGGATGGCTTTACAACAGGGAAATTGTAGTTGCTCCAACAGTCAATTGGACAAGATTGAGGGAAGTAGGGCTCGTAGATCGGGTGGGCCCGTTCTTGACAAAGACATTTATTGGAGATGGGTATTCGTTCACCTGTTCTGGTTGGCAAAATCTGTTCCGGGTGCAAGAGCGTGTCTACAAGGAATTTTGTGTCGAGTTCTTCGCAACGGTGACGTTTCAGGAAACGGTCCAAGATCCACATTGGCCACAGGCATTGGTATTTCGATTAGGGGGTGAGTACCGGGAGTGCAGCCTAGTTGAGTTTGCTTGGAGAGTGGGGCTGTATGATCGACAGGAGGCTATGACTCCCGAGTTTGGCATGTTTTTGGGAGGGGCTGCTAGAGGATATACGAAGGGTGTCACGGGATATTCTTTTTGGCATAACATTGCCTCCGGGATGTTTAATTCTGGAGTATCTCCTGAGAGCAGTATTCGGTCCCCGATCCATCGTTTACTCCACCGGTTCATTACCTTTTCCATCAACCATAAGAGGCATGGAGACAAAGTGACTAAGCAGAACTTATTTTTCTTATGGTGCATCTTACAGCCTGGTGTCTGTTGTAAAATCCCGTATTTTCTAGCCCGTTTTATGGCTGGGTCTGCCACGAGTTCGCGCCCTGGGAGCCCTATTTGTGGGGGTCATTTTGTTACTCGTTTGGCCTGTTCTTATCATCTGATTGTTCCCGATATTATTAGATCCATGACGTGTGTGGACGAGCATGACTTTGGTATGGGATATTTGGAGACTATGCGGGTCGTCAGAAATTTTGGATCACACTGGGGAATAGTTCCATCAGATGTTGAGGGTGAAGATGAGGATGATCAGCCAGCCGATCAACCTACGCCAGAGCCGAGACCAAGGCGCAGGAACGTGAGAGGAAGGGGAGACCGCGGGCAGCCGATACACCCACCTGTTTCCATGGTTGGTGCACCTTTTGGGGGTGATATGGCTGGTTACTTTGACCAGTTATCGTTGAGTGTAAATTGGATAGGCGGCACGATGGAAAATGTGGTTCAACATCTTGGGGTGGAGCAGCCGCCTCATTTAGGGTATCATTACCCGATTTGCCCACGATGGTCGGAATATGGTGGTCGTGGAGGTGATGGAGCTGCTACTAGTGGAGCGCATGAAAATGAGGAGGATGATTGATCGTTATTTATTTTGTTTGATTTGTGTTTAGTTTGTTTTTTTTAGTTTGTTTTTATGGGATTGTAAGAACTACTTTGAATATTATGTTACTTTTATTCTTCGTTGTTGATTGTTTCTCATAAATTGCTACGGAGTGCTTGGGAGGGATAGCGAGTTATGAATGCGTACGTTTTTAGCTGGGATTGTTTAATTCCGAGAGTCGAGACCCATATTTTCAAAATAAGTTTGGGGTGAGTTAATGGAGTGGAGTGTCAGCGAATGAGTCATAAACTGATGACTTTGGAAGAGTCTTAATACATTAAGGCATTAGAAGAAGGATTGAGCAATGTTTTCTACTTGTCCAGTTCTCACGACGTGAACATTTCTAATTCACGTCGTGAGTCAGTTATCAGGAGGTTCTCAGGATACGTTCAGTTCGATTTCACGTTGTGAATTATTCCACACTCATGTCGTGAATATTAGATTTTTACGAGATTCAAGGCCCTTGACATTTTAATCTTCTATGGGTAGATGTTGTTCTTCTTGTCAATATATTCAAGATTATTTTGGCTCATTTTTTTTACCACCATGCAATGTGGCGTATGCTTTCCCACATTGGTCATTCTACTTTTGGAGACTTACACCATATTTGAAGATGATTGAAGGCTCGATTTCATGTTTTGCCGGTACACTCCTTATTTCGCAAGTTCAAGAATCAAGTTTCTATTTTTGGAAGTCCATATTCAAGATGCACGTTTCCCGCACTTTTAGAGATCTTCACGCCACTATCCCAGGGGAGTTTGTTCTTTTTTCTACCTTTTCTTTAAGTTTTTTTTTTTTAACTTTGATGCATACAATGAGGGCATTGTATGAAATAAGTGTGGGGTAGGGGTAGAAGAAGTAATTTGCTAGAAAATCATATAATAGTAAAGATTGAAATTTTCAAATTTTTAATAATTGAATCTAGTAATAATAGTTTGAGCTATAATTGCTAGTATTATGCGGGATGATCCGATGAAAGTTCAAATGTTTAGTTGAGCCAATATACGTTATAGTGCATTTGTGGCCTCCCTTATTTTAGTGAAATCATGGAACAAAAACATAACCCCGCTCGGTTTGAAGGATGCAATATGTTTAGCAGCCTAAACCTGAAATGTATCCAGGAAAATTATTATCATTAACCAATAAAGGTTCAGGTTGAGCGCCTCTGCTTAAGCATGTAGGTTTTGAGTGAAAAAAGAAAGGTACATGTAAAAAAAAGAGAGAGAATTACGAAAAAGTTTGAAGAATTTTGGAGCAAATAAAGTGAAGATTAAAAGATCAAAATTCCAAGGTCCAAAAAGTTGAAGATACCAGAAATCAAATAAGGTGGTGAATTCAAAGAAATCAAAGATCAAATGTCAAAGAATTGAAGAATTCCAAAAGAGCTCCATAGTGGTATCGAAAAGTTGTAATTATAGATTATGTATGCTTAGGTTGCTCAACTAAAAATACCTTGAGGTTAGGACATTTTCTGCGGATGGATTCGGAGGGTTGCATAAAATGAGCATTGTTCGGAAAAAGTGGGCAAGTGTTTATGAAGATTGTGAGTATTTAAAGTATGGGGGGTACTTTAGGAAAATTTTAGACACAAATGCATGCGTTGAGGTCTTGGCATAATGGCTGAATTAGAGTCGGATTGTTCAATGTAATGTTAGTTTAAATTTGCTTGAGGGCAAGCAAAGTCTAAGTGTTGGGTATTTTGATATTGCCATATTTATACTTATTTTTAGGCAATATTTAAGTACATTTTTATTAAAAAATCGGTAATTTGTTTAGAATAATGGTACTTATGAGCTTAAATGTTGTTTACAGCCAAAAAAGAAGACATTTTGAAGAAAAGGGGACTGAAAACATTAAAGAAAGAAACTTTGGGAATTAGAAGAGTAAAAGTGAAGTAAATCTGGAGAAAAGGTTATTCACGACGTGAGAATTAAAGGATTCACGACGTGAATCGATGGTTCTAGAAGATATGTACGCGGGTGAAGAAATCCTTGACGGGCACGGTTATCTACGACTCACGACGTGAATTTATGATTATTCACGACGTGAATTTATGGATAACAGCAATTATATAGATCCTTGACCTTGACGAATGGAGGGACTTTTGGCAGAAGAAAAGGAGTTCCAGGAGACATTTCAGAGCAAAAGAAAGGTCCTGGAAGAGAGATTTCAACACCAAAAGAAGTAAAGTTTTATATTTTAGTTAATTATGAACATGTCTTTCATTAGTTTTAACTGTGTTAGTTTAATTACTATGATGAGCAGCTGAATCTAGCTACTCTTGCTTAGCTAGATGAAGCTTTGAACTTACGAATAGTTATATGTTTATGGATTAATTTGAGTTGGTAAAAATTGCTTGTGTTTGATTTGTATAACCTAGCATGTTATTATTTGTTTATTTAATTGCTTGATTGCATGTTCTGTGTAGCTTAGTGACCATGAAACTGCATGAACTTGTTTACCTAATAATTTAGTGAACATTGAATTGTTAGAGCTAGGATTGACCAATCTTAATTAGTAATTAGACTGAATAAATCTTAGTTGTGCTAGAGAACGTGAATTGTGACCATAATTGCGTTTATACAACAAATCTTACATAGCATATTTACATTCATAATTAGTTATGTGTTTAATTATGTGTGAACATACATGGTTTGACATGAATTAGTTACTTATTGGTAAGATAGAACTAAATTACTAATATAACTAAAAACCAACTTTATAACCCATGATCATTAGCTAGCCATAAGGGAGAAGTGGATTCAACTAAGCAAGAGTGTGTTTTTATTGAATTTGATTTAAGTTCATCTGATCTTGCAAAATCAGATAAAACCCCTTATTAAATTTGTTCATAAATTAGGTTAATTTAATAGTAAGTAGATTAATTAGTAACACCGTTCCCTGTAATCGACACCCGACTTACCTAAGCTATACTGTAATCTGACTAGGTACACTGCCTATAAGTGCATAGATAGTCTAAGTTTGTTAGGTTATAAATATTAAAATTAGTGGGTACTTTTGTGCACATCAGGGGGGTAGGCTTGCACAGGGGCGACGTGGACGATCCAAGGCCGTGGCCTCGAGTACGCTGGGCGTACTCGTGTACGCGGGGCGTACTTGCGTGACTCAGACTTCGGATAATACCGAAGTTTTTAATAAAAATTATATATAAATTATTTATCAAACTTCAAAAATTCATATCTCCTTCATACGAACTCTGTTTTCGACGTTCTTTATATCCCCGCGAAGGTGAGACTACGATCTACAACTTTCGTTTAGATTCCGTCAGCAAATTCCGAAATTATTTTTATTATTTATTTATTAAAATGACGTGATTAAGGAATTTCTTTAAAAATTCATAACTTCTTTATCTGACGTCGGTTTTTGCCAGACTTTTTACCGCTGAAAAACCATTGTCGAGACCTTCGATTCTCGTTTAGGTCATTCCGTCCAAAAGTCGCTCGATCTCTGATTCGAGTTTTCAGTTGACTGTTGCTAAGCCGAATTTGGAAAAAAAAAATCTTAACTTCAGTATACGAAGTCGGGTTTGGGCATTCTTTTTACGTACGATCCCGGTTTAATAATATAAAACATAGTAGGTAGTTAAATGGAAACTTTTTGGATGTTTTATTATCAACGTTTATTTTGATTAACTCATAAATGGTTACAATACTTGACCTATCAGGCCATTACAAAGAGTTGAAATATCGGGTTGTCACAGTAAGGGACATTGAAGTGACCTAGGTAGGTGGGGAGGTATGACTGGTCATAGAGTGGGTGTGGGGTGGTTGCTTGTGACATAAGTTAAGGCAAGGTCAACACTCCACCTTAAATAAATCCCCCATTAGATCTTTATTATTCAGATAATGATTTTCATCAAAATATGTTTAAATTATGAATATTTAGGGTTTATTATGTTAAAATATAATTTCTGGAGAAAATCTCGCTTTAAAATCACGAAAAACGGGCTTAAAATGTTAAAAATATCAAAAAGTGGCTAAAAGTGATAAATTTTCGAAATCTGGCCGAGTTTCGGTCTTCTGATGCTGAAACCGAGAGGAGAGAGGGCAGAAACCGAGAGGGGAGAAGAGAGAGAGCAGGAATCGAGAGGGGAGAAGAGAGACCGAGAGAAGAGAAGAGACATAGAGGAGAGAACAGAGAACAGAGACCGAGAGGGGAAGAGAGAACAGAGACCGAGAGGAGGCAGAGAGGCGGGAGGCGAACAGAAGCAGAGAGGCGGGAGGAACAGAGAGTGAAGAAGGAACCGAGAGGCGACAGAGAGGAGAGAAAGCGACAGAGAGGAGAGAAGCGACAGAGACGAGAGAAGCGACAGAGACGAGAGAAGCGACAGAGACCGAGACTCGGTCTCAGCTACAGGGGTTCGGTCCTCCGGGTTCAGCCAACAGAGGCTCGGTTCGGTCCTTGCTACTTTCGGTTCCTAGGTCTTGGCCTTAAGGAGCTTCGGCTCCTTGAGAAGGGTTTCGGTTCCTAAGGTCCATTTTTCTCGTTTTTACCCCGTTTTAAGCCGTTTTTGACCCGGTTAAGGGTCGAAATGACCCGAATGATTCTAAAAAGTTACGGGAAACTTTTGAGAGAGATTTGGGAGAGATTTCACATACTTGGAGAGATTTGGGAGAGATTTGACATTCTTGGAAAGATTTCTCATACAAGGAGATATTTGAGAGAGGTTTCACATACTTGGAGAGATTTGGGAGATATTTGACATTCTTGGAGAGATTTCTCATACAAAGAGATATTTGAGAGAGATTTCACATACTTGAAGAGATTTGGGAGAGATTTGACATTCTTGGAGAGATTTCTCATACAAAGAGATATTTGAGAGAGATTTCACATACTTGGAGAGATTTGGGAGAGATTTGACATTCTTGGAGAGATTTCGCATACGAAGAGATATTTGAGAGAGATTTCACATACTTGGAGAGATTTGGGAGAGATTTGACATTCTTGGAGAGATTTCT